ACAATTAAAGAGGGAAGAGTAGAAAAGAAAAAACGTCCATAGTGACTGCCCCAAAAGCAAAAAAAAAAAAAAAAATGAATGAAATGAGAGAAAAAAAAGTAAAAAGTAAAAAAAAACACATTCATAACAAAAGCAAAAAAAAACAAAATTAAACCAAAACTCACACAACCAGAAAAAACAAGAAAAACATTAAAATATTTTAAAGCAAACAGAAAAGAAAAATTAAAAACACTTAAAACAATCGTAAGAGGACAAAAAACAGAAACAGTTACGGTTCTCCGCCCATGCAGCCAGGCAGGACGGCAGCGGTGCGTGTCGTGCAAAAGAGAGCACCAACGGGCCTGCATGGGTGTGCATGCATATATGCAATGGGCACATTATGTGTGTGCCTCGTGGGGTGAGGTGAGGGCGAGAGTCCATGCAAGGGGACACACACAGAGAGAGAAGGACGAGTGTGTGTGCGGGCGGTGCATGGCTCTCTCTCCCTCACTCTCACGCGGCCACCACCACCGCAGCAGCCGCACACGCAACAATAAGAAGAAGCAAAAGAGGGGAGGTGGTGTGGAAGGCCGCGGTGCTGCTGTCACTGTCGCCAGGTGTCGTCGTATTACGTTGCTCAGCGGCAGGTTCAACTGTTGTTGCGTCTTTACTACCAGCTGTACTCTCACGCTGTTCTTCATCTTTCAGTGGGGTATCGGATATTTGTGCATTTTTGGAGTTTTTTTCTGGGTCCTCTTTATCCGAGCTGCCGGTGGTTTCACTGCCACTGGGAGATGAAGACTGAGATGTATGTTCCCGGTTGTTGCCTGGTGATGTATTATCTGCAGGAATCGTGTCGGGTGCAGCCACTCTCCGGGATTTATCCTCGTGTGATTCAGTCGTATTTGGTGGACCTTGTGATGGTGCTGGTGCTCCGTCCGTGCCCTCCCGTGCTTCGGTCGACTGCAGTCCTGTTTCTGGTGTTGTTTCTTCGCCTTTGTTGTGGATCATTTTGTCTTGCACGTCCGCGCTGTGTTGATGCGATCCCTCCGCCGCTGCGTCACCTGCGGGCACATGACTGCATTCGCCCAATGGAGCTTGACCTTCGCTGCAGCGCCCGGACTCTGGGTGATTCCTTTGCTCTTCTTCACTGCGAACGTCATCGGAATGCTGCTGGTGGCCAGCATCACCTGCTGATCCGTGAATTTGGGCATCAAAACCACCTTCCACATTTAAAGGAGGCGGAGATGACAACACGGCAGTATTCGCGCCGGCGGCTTTTGAGGATTTCGCTCTTTGGCTGCCAACTGACGCCCCCGTATCCTTCGAGACGTCAGACTCTCTGTGAGCTTCGTTGTCTTCCTTCGTCTTTTCTTTCTTCAGCGCATCTGTAATATTACTCCTCAATGTCTTTAAACACGTTGCTTTTTCATCGTCCTGTTTGCAGTATTTCTTTTTAATCTCATCATCAGTCTTATTCGCCAGCAAACTCAAAGCCTCCACATATGACTTATTGCAGAATTCATCCTCCAAAGTTCCCTCACAAAACCACCGCCGGCACAGCACCACAGCACGCAGAGGGCACACACCAGCAGCACACGGCCAGTCATCATCGCCATCACTCCTGTCACTTGCGTGCAGCCTTCAGCACAAACTAACAACACGTCAACGCAAAGCAAGAATAAATGAAAAGGAGAGACACGGCCGCTACACCACACACAACCACCGCACAGTAAACAAATGGCAGCAGCAACACAGCACACACCATGAGGCAGTTGGAATCGTTACAACTGCAGAATTTGCACACCGCCCTGCAAACCAGAAGTCTTGCAAGGAAAAACAGAGTTGAGGGCCCGGCAAGGCTCCCAAAAAGTGAAAAAAAATATGAAACATCGATCAGGCACGACTTTCATTTCGTGTGCCATACGGCACAATAAAAAAAACATTTGTTTGTCTACACATGATTCCCGCACTGAATAAAGAAAAGACATTACTTTTCCACCAGGCCACACAACACCCTCACACTTCACTGCGGCATCCGGCCTGTTCCTCGAATCCTCCCTTCGTGCAGTCCGTGGGACGCACAGCAATGAGGCCGGCACCGCGTGTGGGCAAAAAAAGGTAAACAAAAGGGGGGGAAACACGTCACCCATGACAGTGTGCAGCAACTGACCATTAAATAAATAGGGGTCCTTATCATTCCGGAAAAGCAACACAAAAACAAAACTAACAGTAAAAAAGTAATTAAAAAAGTAACACGCATGCAACGCGGCACATGTTCTCCGTGGGGAGCCGCAATTCCACAAAATCCCAGAAAAAGCAGCAACGCCCAAAGCACGCACACACGCACGGTGCCGTCAACAGTTAACTCTCGCAGTGTCAATTTCGCGTCGTTGTGCAGGGCAAAGCAGTCGTCGGGACTCACACCGCTCCGGAATACTGCGCAGTAAATTCTAGTAATTGGGGATTGTTATCGTGCCCAGAGGCATTGCGTTGACTCAATTCGTCCGCATCACCCTCAGCAACAAATCCACTGACCGCAACGCCATTTTATAAAACTAGAGATTTGTGTCCGGTGGCGTCGTGCTCACTCACCTCGTCCGTGTTATCCGCAGCAACGTGCTCCCTGCCGCCATAAGTGACAGACATGATCCCGGATGCATTCGGCGCCACTAATATTCTCGGACCGTTGGCAAAGGAAGGCCTCTTCGTGGATGCATTCGGGACCATCACTTCGTTCGGATTGTTGGCAAACTCAGGCCTCGTCTCGGACGTGTTGGTCGCCGTGTTGGATGCGGGACTCCGATCGACGGCGTTGGGTGCGTCAGCCGCCGCCGACTGTTGCCAATCCTCGTGTTGACGTGACGGCTCAGCATTCACTTGCGGCGCAGTTGTCTCGCCAGAATTTGTGTCATCCTTCCCTTCACGGGGTGGCGGCAACTGACAGATGCCCGTACGGTCAGCATCGCCGCTCCGTGCAGGCGGATGGATGGTTCCATCGGGGGAAAATTGACGCCACCACAATTCATAAGGGCCGGCGTATTTATGTGTCGTCACATTCATCGTGAAGGCAACGGTGGCCCCTTCCTCTTTCGTTGCACAGCTGGCAGCACAGTTGCTACATGTGTGCACCGCATTGGCCACATGGCACACAGCACACAGCTCACCATTCCTGCAATGCATGCGCACACCAAAGCCACTGAAAGTATAATTCTCCTACTGAGCCTCGGCACCGGCAGCAGAACAATACTTCTTCCAAGCCCATACACACACAATATAGCTCAGGCTGCCGTCACTCGGAGCACACGACACATCCACCGGAAAACCACCACACCCGCAGGAAAGGAGACTCGGGCTGCGCACTTCCTCCTTCCTTCTCTTCATGCCCACGGAAGAAGAGAACAGGCGCCACACGCAACTGCCAGCACACGCTACAAAAGAAGCATCCAAATCCACTGCAATGTGCATTTTGTGCGTGCATGTTGTTGTGTGTGCCTGCAGAAACACGAAGCAAAGAAGTAAAAACAGGAGCAGAGCATGTGAAGGGACGCACAAAAGACTGTACGGCAGAAGTGCATGGCAGAAACAAAGAGAAAAAGACTGCTCAAACTCATGATATTGCACTGCAGACAAAACAGAGGCAATTCATTAAAAAATTAAATAAAAATAAATAAAAATTCATCTTCACCTTCCACACCTCACAATTTGAAAAGAAAAAAGAAAAACGAAAAAAATTAGTCCTCTATTACGGCTACACCCAAATGATAAAAAAAGAAAATGAAAAACAAAAGACACACAAAAAAGCACCCGACTACCATGTTGCCCCAAAAATTGTCTGCATATTTTTTGCCCGCAAAATAAAAATAAAAGATATTTAAATGTCTTTCAACCGTCCGACCCTCCACGTGTCCGCACATCGTTTATATTTCATGGGGTCATCTGCGTGTTGCTGCTCCCCTCAGCCCTCTCATCGGCGCGTGAGTGCGGCCCGCAGAGCACAGTCACTCGTGTGTGTGGGGACTGAGAGAAGCACGCAGACATGACGGCAGTCGCGTCACTCCATCGGGAGAGTGAGCGCAGCAAAAGAAAAAGAAATCATCGGAGGGGAGAGAAATGCTCACGAGGCCGACACCGAAGGGTGCGCCACCGCATGAAATAAACACGCAAAGCAAAACAAATCCTTAAAGAAAAACACGGCGGCAGGGTGTGGCTGTGTGTGTGGCGCTGCGGGTGTCTGCCCGCCCTGGCCGCAAAGAAAACAAAACAGGAGGGAAGAAATGTGTGCTCCGCCCCACAGGCCCTCGTCGCACGCCCACACGTCACGGCTCCCTCAGCGCGCCGTTCGTCGCGGCCCCTCCTCATGCGTGCAGCAGGCGAGGCGCACAGGGCCGTCGTTGTGAGCGTGTCGGTGGGTGTGCGAGCGGAGCAGTTGGGCGGAAACACACGGCACCCCTCACAGGAGGAGTGCAGAAGAAACAATTAAAGAGGGAAGAGCAGAAAAGAAAAAACGTCCATAGTGATTGCCCCCCGAAGGCAAAAAAAAGGAGGGATGGGGGATCAAAAGATTTTAAAACAAAAAAAGGAAGAAATTAAAGAAAATAAACCATTAAAAAATGAAAAAAAAACTCACAACGCCCCGAAGGAAGTAAAAAACAAGGAAAATAAACACAAAAAACAAGTAACAACAAAACAACAGCAAAGAAAAAAAAAGAAAGTAAAAATAATTAAAAACACAAAACACAAAACACAAGGAGCTGCAACGAATGGCTCCAGCGTGCACACTCACACAGACATGCGTCCACGCAAACAGTTGTGGGCGTATCGTGCATACGGGTGTATCTGGGATGCGTGCCAAGTGACGGATACAGGCAGCAAGAACATGGAGCACACAGCAGCGCAGCAGAAGCAAATGGAACAAAACACACAATCATTGTTTTCTATTACTTATTACGCAATAAAACAAAAGAAGCGCACAAATCCACATGGTTGAGTGCTAGCAATTATAGTCCGCATTCACTTCTTCAGCCTAGTGTCCCGTAGGTGAGTGCAGCCAGAACAAGCAGTGGCAGAGCATGCAGATGGGTGTCATGGAAGCAGGCGTCAGTTCCCACAATGTTCTCCAGAGCGTTCGTTGTGGGCGCAGAGGAAAGAGGAGCCGGCATGCTTGCCGCCGTAGAATTTACTTTGCCGGAAGCAGTGTCGGTCGTGGTGTTGGCGGCGGTGTCCTCTTCGGCGCCTCCCGCTGCACTCCCGTCCTCGCCGGTCTGGGACAACTGAGTCGGTGGCGCAGCAGCAGTCTCTTCCTGCAGCTCCACTGGAGGTTCATGGGAGGAGTGGTCGCCGCCTTCTGTGGGCTCCGGATCTGGTATGGATTCGGGTGCAGGAGAAGAAGCAGGAGAAGTAGAATGGGAAGGGCCTTGAAGTTCACCAGAGAGGGCGGAATCTGACGCTCCCAAGGCTGCAGCAGAAGGATCCGTCGTGGCCGCAGCGCCAGCAACAGGGTTAGCACCAGCGCCGCCTGGAGTGGCAGGTGGAGAAGAAGGAGGGACATCCGCGGAATTCTCAACGACAGCAGGAGAAGATTCAGAATCCGGTCTGGAAGATTTTTCACGAGAAATCTTGTCTTCTTGAGGGCTCGGAGGTTCTGCTTCCAAAGGTTTAGCCGGACCAATTTCACCAGAGTCACCCGGAGCTTCAGCCAGTGAAGGAGCACCAGCCGCACCCGCAGCGCCAGCAGGAGGAGAATCAGAAACAGGTGTGGAGGTGCCACGAGAATCCTTGTCTTCTTGAGGGCCCGGAGGTCCTGCTTCCGGAGGTTTTGCCGGAACAATTGCAGCGGTGACCGCCTTCGGCTCCACGTTACGCTCCCACCAACTCTTCACGGCGCTTGGAGTAAACGTGGAGACGTTGATCGTGAAGACACCATCCTTCGCACCATCTTTTATACGTCTCTGAACATCCTCGGGGGCACAGTTTCCTACGCCCATGCCGCAAATCATCTTTCCCGCACCAGTAGATGAATCCGTGCAGTTGTACCACAATGACCTCCCAGGGAGTTGCCAGCGCCCGAGTTTATCTTTACCCGCACACTCTGCATTCACCTGCGTTACCTGCGGCTCTTGCTCCTCCTCCTCCACGGCAAACACGCACGAGCAGCAGCACAGCAGTGCAAACGCCAACACGACACAAAACAAACGGCGCATCATCGTAAAAACTTTCGTTGTTGAATAACGTGGATTCGATCTGCAGGAGCATGAGAAAGCAAAGGGAGAGAGACAGCAGCTACACCACGCACAGCCACCGCATGGTAATAAATGGCAGCAGCCAGAAGAAGCGCACGCCAAAAAAGACAGATGGAATCATTACAACCGCAGAACTCACACACCGCCACACAAAGCAGAACTTAAAAAGGCGGAAAAAAGAAAAAAAAAATGATGGGAGTCCAACAGAACTCCAGGGGAGGAATATAAAAAATCGATCGGGCAGAATTTCTATTTCATATGCCAAGTAGCACAAGACAACCGTGTGTGCCTCTGTGTATAAGTAATGCCTTCACCAAGGAAAAAAAAAGAAAATAAAAAAAAGGGGGAAACACGTCACTCGTGACAGTGTGCAGCAATTAACCATCGGAGGAAAAAAGGAAAAGAAGGGCTGCTGACTATCCCATCAGTGCACCAGCAGCAGCAGACAATAAAAACGAATCATTTGAAAAAAGAAAAGAAAACACGCGTAAAAGCGGCACGTACGGTCCATTAGAAATCGCACAACCGCACTCTACGGCTCATAAACATGCCACGTCCCCACGCACTCCTTGAAGTAAAGGCATAAAAAGCCCAAGGCACACACCCATGGACGGCGCCGTCACCAATTCCTTTTGGGAACAATAAAACAGTAGAGCCATTGACATCAGCGGTGCCGTTTCCCGTGCAGAATTCCCATTTGGCGGGCACTGGCACCTCTTCCCTCGCAGCCGCGTCAACGCACGGATCCTGTGGGAGTTTGGCCAAAAAATTACCGGGACGCGGTGTCGCTTTTCCCTCCCTGCAATCCGCTTCAGTCTGCTTGCCACGCGAAAGGGGCATCTGTAGCTCCTGCCTGGTCAGTGGGCGGTTGCACAGACAGACATGCGTCAGCGTCACCTAACTGCAGTATGAGCCACTGCAACCGTCACCTCCAACGTAGAAGCATGAGACGTCGAGCAACTGCGGCCCACGTGTAACTGTCGTTGCTGAGCTCCCCAAAGTTTTGCCATCCACGCACACGGTGCCCATGCCGTTCTGGAGCCCAATTGCCACCCGGTACGTTCTCTCCAGCCCGCAGTTCCCGTGCTGCACTTCTCCCGCCTCACCGTCAAACGCCACCTCCCGCTTATTGTCCGCCGTGACTGACAGTCCCACCATCCTCACACTCCCAGCGCCACCCACAGCGACCATAAGGGCGCTGCCGCTGCCCGCAGGAGCCGCCCCAATCGTCGCCGTCACCACAAGATTGAACTCTTTTTTCACAATGTGGAATTGTTGATTCCGCCACCATTTACCCACAGGCCACTCTGCCCACACCCCAGGCCCCTCAAACGTCGCACCGCCCTCAATCTTCGCTGCTGTCCCAATCATCGTGGCACTCGCCGCGACATATTCCTTCACCCAGCAATCCCTCTCACCCTCGTTGGACAAATATCCGACCAGCCCATCCGTGGGCGTAGGAGTGCTGCAGGCACCGTCGGATGCGGTTCCCTCTTTTCTGGTGGAAGTGCAAGGCGTTGTAACTTTCTTGTCGACTGCATCCCAATTCCTCAGCGCAGTCTTTATTTCCTCCAGTTGCTCAGTGAGGTGTGCGAGCACAACGCGCCCTTGTCCTGCATACCACTCGTACAGGGCAAACAGTTCACCACCCTTGCACTGCAGGGTATCTGCGTTTTTAGAAACACCATCGGCACATAACGGTCCAATGGGGTAAAAACAGACATATAAAGAAGCAACACACTCGTCGCTCTCCGAATATTATTCTGCCTGGGCAAGGCAAACAGCACTACACTCCTCCCCTCGATGGATGCCGTCACGACGTCGAGTCGGCTACCAGACGTAGCACTCTTCAAGGCCTCACTCAAGACATTCGAATGTGCTCCGCCAAATTCCATCCATTTCTCCCCCATTTCACCGGAATCATGCACTTTACCGTCATGGCCTCCATGCGTGGCGGCCGCGAGGAGTTTTCCCTCCCACTCAAAGTGATTGGGATCAGCGCAGTCCCGTCAGCAACACCCTCTGCAGGGAACCCCCAAGCCCTGCCACAGCCCTTCGAATGGATGATGGTGCAGACTTTTGTGTTTTCCCCCTTCACAGCCACGAGGGGAAACACAATCGCGGTGCCATTCGCCACCACGCCCCTGGCGCTAATACCCCAGTACCCATTCCATGACCTCACTCGCAGCTGACCGTCAACAACAGCCTTGGAAGGGCTCCCAGCACCCCACGTGATGCGCCTTCCCCCATCGTTGGAGACCAAAAACGTCACCCAAAACAGGCACAAGCTCCCACCTGTGTGGAGTTTCCAACATCGCACCGGCATTTTTCGCAGGAAAGCGCTCCAAAGACAGAAAAATCTTGCCGTCTTTCGTTAACGCCTTGGGACCGTTCAATTGAGACGCGTGACCCGCCTCTTCTCTTCGTTCCACGGCAATTTCCGTCCTCCAGTCCGTCACGCTCTCCGCTGCGATTCCTTTCGTCCACTCTTCCCCTGTAAAACTCACGTACTTTGACCAAATCCCAACACTGGCACTAGAAGGGACTCCCTGATTAGCCTTGGCAATGCCCACAATTAAGCCATAGTATTTCAACAAGAGAATGGCCAATAAAGAATTTGACACCATTATGTCCAGAGCCGTTGCCTCTCAAATGCGCCAAAAGACGCCTTCGTTTCCCACCATACAAAAATAACCATAGGCTTTGGATCACCCACCTTCTTTGCACGCAGCTCCACCAGTGCCGCAGCACAACATCACGACGAGGAGGAGCACCGCAGAAGTAAACGCACGCCGGGACATGTTGAGCCTCTGCGGCTCACTCTCTCTTCCTTCCCTCCTCCTTCCGCTGGATCCGGTCATGCGGCGACGGTTGTGTGTGCGGGGTGCCTCCACTGCAGCAACACGTGAGAGCATATAAATATGTGTGTGTGGGCGGTGTGTGTGCTGTTGGTCCTTTCAGAGCCTTCGAATTTCACAGTAGCGTTTAGCGCTTGTTTGCTTTCTTCGTAAGAGAGTGAAGAGTACAGCAGCAACAGCGGCAATACACCAGAAAGGTCAGTGAGGAGCAGAGCAGAGCACCCACGCAGAGAGCGGGGCACGAGACAATCCGGGAGGGACGGCACGGAGGACCATCGCCCACAGAAAAGAGCAGCAACACGGCAAGTCACGGCGGGCCGTCGGTGTATGCGGGCCAGCCCTCACGCGGCGCAACACGCCTCACACCCAACAGGGAATGGCAGACAGACAGGCGGAGGGAGATGAATGGATGCCGTCAAGAGGCACTCACAATCAACATGGCCCGTGAGCATGCGGCCACTCCACGCAGGAACGCAGGAGAAAAGGGGGAAAAGCAAGAAGCAGCATAACACACGGAAGAAACAAAAGACAGGCGGGAAAAGCACCGCCAGCGCCCTCGCCCTGGCCGGCAACTCCACACCAGCCCTCACACACACACACACACCATCGCAGTGCTGTCAGTCCGCCATGGAGGAGGAGAAGTAACCCGCCGCCAACACACAACGCACACGGAGCCAGCAATCAACCAAAGAGCCACACGCGGAAGCGGATCCTCATCCACCCATGACGCGGCGTCTCACTCCACGCGGTCACACGGAGCGCACCATTTCTCCAACAGAACTTACTCGTCCTCCATCCCTTTAAGACGCCTCTGTTAGTGATGGGCCTTCGAACACAATAGAAGAAAATGGACAATGCAGTAACGCCGTGACACCGCCAGACACAATGATTCCCTCATACCGGGGTACTTCTCCAATCATGCCTCGTACCACACACACAATCAACATACCATGTAGAAATCACCCAATGTTTTTCACCAAAAACCAAACAACCCCAATCCCTCCTTAATTTCTTTTGTCACTGTTATGTTCGATAGCGTTGGACATTTTGGCATTTGTGTGCGGTGCTGCCGCATGGAGATGGTGCATCCGCACCGCATGCTCAGGCACAAGCATCCAAAAATACATAAATCCCACAATATTTTTTACCACAAATCAAAATGACTCGTTTACTTTTAATTTACTAATCTATATTTCTATTATTATTATTTTTTGCACACTTCGGAGGGCTTCGTCTCTTCAAAAGTCTCTGTACGGTATTGACACTTGGTACTGGCGCTCCTCTTCCTCCCAGAACGCCGAATCTCACGGCTCTCGTCGCTCACATTATTGGAATCGACAAAATCACATCTCTGCCAGTCATTCATCGGCATGCTGCTGTCTGCGTGCTGCACATAAATAATCCCCCACGACATGTCTCGGGATAACTCTTCCCAGCCATTAAAATATGCCGCCAGGCACTCAGTGAAGTGCCCCACAGTGCTGGCGGTGGTGTGGTGCCCACCCGCCGTAGTTATCCGCAGCCCAACACCGTCATTGGATTGGACTCCGAAAAAAAAAAAGGCGTCCACCAGCGGAACGTTTGTGGCCCACGGTTTGTGCAGCACCCCATACTTTATTTTACGGATCGTTTTTTCATATTCACTCGGCAGCAAGCCTTCATCTCCCTTGGGATGCAGTTCAGGGGGCAACTTCAAGACGCAGGGCTTTGCTTGACGCCCTGTTGGCGGCTCAAACTCCGTAAGTTTCGTCGCTATTGCCTTGGCAAAGGCACTCTCCGTGAACGATTTCAAAGCAAACCATCGAAAAAATATGGGCAAAATATTATCCTTCGACGCCAACATCAGCCTCAAAAAGCTATTGTATTCTGCTACACTTGGGAGGCGTTCCAATGTCCGTTCCTCGAGGCAAGCAGATATCGGTGCACTGAAAAGGATCACACCGCCTGCGTATATTTCCCGAACAACTTCCACAGGCTTGTGTGACGGATCCTCAGAAAACCATGGCAACTCACCTCCCCGTGAAAAGTGCTCTTTCACAGTTACCTCGTTGATCGACTGCAATGCAAACCTCACCGCTCCACAGCGTTCCCTAAACGCCTCCTCAT